TTGCTCTCACTGTACCCTTAGCTTGGAATCCTTCCTTTCTTTTCTTTTTAAAAAAGTTTTCAGTCAAAACAACTAATTAATCAGTGGTTACACTTACGTAACTTTTGCATAAAACATAGTTTTATTTTTTAAAAGTCAATTATTGTTTATTGTCAAAAGATGCAGAAAAGAAAGTATGTTTTTTCTACCATAGCTTTCGTCAGTCACAAAAAAGTCATTTCAAAATGCATTTCATTATTGAAACACAATGTAGCAAATATTACACTGAAACAGAATCTACTGAATTCCATAACAGTGGAACATATTAAAAACATCTGTGCTTTCAGTTTAACTTTATAGTAAGCTTTCTACATTGTGTAACTTACTCCAATACTTGTGTCTTTGGGTGTTTAGCAAAGCTTTCTGTGCATATTCTCAAGGTATTTGCTGACAATGGAATGTGGTTGTTTTTTTCCATTTGTGTTTCGTGTATTATTTTAGACATTTTTATCTTGGCAAGCAGAAAACTATTTCCCCAATGGTGTGTTGTTTTTTGACTTTCATTTTTAAGAAAGCTCAGAGGAGGCTTTTTAGCATTTATTATTGGTGACTTTTCTTTAAAGTATTGACTTGAATAGTATATTACTTAAACATGCTGGAAACATTGCCGAGTTTTGCTTTCATGTTTGGATATTTAGTTTTTAAATGGCTATCTAACTGTGATGGGTTCAGAATATCATTATCTATTAACTATAATATGTACATAGGGTGAAGTCAATGTTAGCGAGAGGGAATGTAAATTCATACTTAAAACGGTGTGCTTCATAATCAATTATTATGGTCAACTTCTTGTCAAATCTGATTAGTGATTAGTTTTTTACCTTGCAGTGTGGCTCCCAAAGAGTGTCAGAAATGCCAGTTCTGCCAATCGTGTTTGCCCATTCTTGCATTTTTAACACTGTCTCCATTGGTCCATCCTGTAAGTTAGTTTACTTAAATATCACCCATCAATTCCCTTAGATACAGAAGCTGCAACATGTGGCAATCTGTTGAACAAGGGAGAGAGCGCTCAGGCTGCCGCCCACTATGAGGCCCACTCCTCAACATCCCATATATTTGCCCATGTAAGGACCAAGTGGGCATGCCAAACACCAATCCCCACATTAAATATTAATAAAGCTTAATTTCTTTCCCCTTTTTTTTCCATGTAAAAAAATACATGTGTTTGTGAATAGAAGTTTAAACACTTTATTCTGGAATTTCGAGAGTTTTCTTCTGCACCCCACTTTGCTCAGATAAGTAGTCATAAAATTTTATTTGTTTTTAACCTTAGGAATCCCCTCTTTTTAATGAAAATGAACATGAAACACTAATATTAAAAAAAATGACATTAATACTGCTCTGATTGACTTCGAAATGGGGCATCAGGACTCAGACATCTCTGCCAACTCTTTCTCCACCACCCCTTTAGGCAGACTTGAAGATTCCTCTGTGGAAATCTAGTTTCCTTGAAACATAGTTGGAAAAAAATCTCGTGCCAAGCCTAGCTCTCCAGGCCTGCTCTCACCAACATTTGCTTCCTTTCCAGTCAATAAGGAATGAGCAAGGTTTTCAAAAGCTGGTATATGAATATTCATGATCTAGGGACCAGTAATAGATCACGGAGTTACCTCACATGTACTCACATATACCTTATGCTACCTCTTATTCAGGGATAAGAACATCTAAAGGAGTGAATGTGAAATGGTGGCATTTCAGTCTCTAAAATAGGAGAAAATATTGTTTGGGCAGGAAGCCCTTCCTGTGTTGTTCCCCAGTGACCTTGAGTTTGTAGGACATAAATAATCCACTTTGTTAACATTCCGGTAAAAGTAATACTTTTAAAAATATGCTAATGAGGGAAACTACAAATATATAAGCTAAATAAAAATTTTTAATGAAAGGGAAATAACTATTTAAAAAAGTGGCCTCAAGAAAATTGAGATCTTTAAAATATCAGGAAATGGACCATCTGTGATATTGCATTAGCCAAGACAAGTACACGAGCTGCTGAAATAATTGACCTCAAAATGTCTGGCTTAACTCAATAAGGATCTATTTCTCACTCATATCACAGAACAATGCATGAGAAGGCTCTGCTGCAACCAGTCATTTACGGACTGGTTCCATACTCCAGTGCCGACATCTTCAAACACATGGCTTCAAGGTTGACCTGGCTTTATTCAATTGGTAGACAGAAGGATAAAAGAGAGTGGCGAAGGCACACCTTCTCTAAACTGCTCTGCAGGGATCATATTCTACTGTTGAAAACTAATCATCTGGCCCTACACACACACAAAATTTGGGAAATTCAGCTATCTTAGAAGAGAAAACGGGTTTGGTGAGCATCTAGCCAGGCTTTGTCATATACACAGAGGCAGAGGTCTAGACCAGGGATTTTCAATGTATAACTTGAGTATCACTAGATCTGACTTTGCAAATTTCTTGGGAAGACTTCCACCACTCTTTTTCTGCGAGCCTTAATATAGGAATCTTCCTACCTACACTAACTTCACTTCTTGCTGTCCCTTGAACCATGATCTTCTATGTTCCATCCATACCTTTGCATGTGGTGTCTGTCCAGTTCTTTCCAATACTTCTTCCCTTCCAACCTCCTCTTCCTCATCTTTTAAGACCTAAGACAATGTTTACTTCCTCTATGAACTTCTCTCTGATGACACAGAAGGCACAGATCTCATCCTAATGTTCATTGAATTTTATCCTTTACTTTGTACCTATCCCTATACTGAATGCATCCGCCTGTATCATAATTATTTAAGGAATCAGCATGTTTTTAAAAGGATCAAGTGTGTTAATATTCACGATCTAGTGACCATTAATTGCCTTAGTTTCTCAAGGACAAGGACGGAAGCTTATGTTCCTCAGTGTCTCCCACACCTGTCTAACATACTCAATAACTGAAGAAAAAATTATTACTTTCTCCCTTCCTGCCACTTTTCAGTTGTCACACCTCTAATGTCTTTTTGTTTTGTTTTTGTATTTTTTACATTGTGGTAAAAACAACGTAAACCGTATCACCTTAATCATATTTTAGTGTTCAGTACAGTAGTATTAACTACATGCACACTGTTGTGCAACACATCTCCATAACTTGCTCATCTTGCAAAACTGAAACTCTATACCCATTGAACAACTCCCGTTTTCCCCCTCCCCCAGCCCCTGGTAACCACTATTCTACTTTCTGTTTCTAAGAGTTTGACTACTTTAGCTATCTCACAGAAGTGGAATCACTTTTTGTGATTTGTGACTGGCTTATTTCACTTAGCACAATAGTCTGAGGGTTCATCCATGTTGTAGCTTATGTAGGATTTTCTTCTTTCTTAAAGGCGGATCAATATTCCATCGCATGTGTATACCACGTTGTCTTTATCCATTTATTCATTCTGCTGTCTTTGTTTTCGACTTGTGGGTTTCTGGAGGGGACTGATGAGAAAATATATTTTCTACTGATCCAAGAGCAAAGGTTATCCTGTATGTTTGAATTTTTCAGGATGGTTTAAGTTCTAGTGCCTAAAAAAGAAATTACACTGAATATAAAGGGAGATTAGATTTGTTAAAAAGCAGTGAGCACATAAAGAATGTCTCCTATTTATCCATCTGTGTACAACAAACTATTAAACTACTTTCAGCTGACTAATAAGGACCCATATAGAAAGCTGTTGACATTCCAGAGGCCTCTTACTTAGTGTTTTTACTGCTCTCCTCAGTACCTCTCATTTCATAGCCTCAAAATAGTTCTAGGGAGAAAAGGAACCACCCAGTTTTAAAGTAGGGCAAAATAAATAAATAAATAAATAAAAGGATAAACGAGAACTCTTTCAACATAGAGCATTGTACTTGTCAGAATTTTAATGTTGCATGGAGGAGTCCAGCCCCAGAGTAAACCCTGGCCCTTCTTGGTATCAGGAGTGGATTCCGGTGTTCGCTTGTATTGAGGTAGTTGAGGCCCTTTAGGAACATTTATAACCTTTACTTCAGGGTGTTACCATGAAAGAATCTTAAGTATCCTTGCATTACCATATCGTTATTTTTCAGTTGGTCCGTGGAGCTATTATTAAATATGTAGCCATAATGTGCATGGAAAAATCTTCAAGTAAAGTGGCATTTAGCTCACCAACATGATCTTAAATCCCTATACGTAACTTCCTTTAAAAACTACCACACTAAAAATCCCAGCACTTAAAATCCTGCGTTTTCGGTAAAATATGCCAAATATAGCTTGAAGCAGTAAATAATCCCCGCAAAGCGACATTAGCAAATTAACTGGAGTGTGAACAAAGAACCCTTTCTGCAGCGGCATGAATGTTGCCTTTATTTTTTCTCACAAGTATGATTTTGGAAAACAGCTGTAGCGCATGTTGACAAATGACAAAGTGGCAGACGTGGTAAAAACACTTTCGGTCAAGGCCAAGAGGGGGTAAAACCGGGTTGCTGGAGCGGGAAACGGGTTTGAATCCCTAGCTTCCCTAACCTCTTTCTTCCAGTCCTGAGCGAGCGGGGGCCTCGTCGCCCCACCCCCCTTTGCTGGCTCTGGTTACAGCCTTTCGAGTTGAACAAACTTGCTGCAGGCGGATTGGCGGCCGGGAGCTCTCCAGCTTGGGCGTCGTATTTATTAATTTATATTCCGCGGCACCCCGCGCGGGCCGCTCCTTTGTATCCGGCTGCAGCCGCCGGGCTCTGGGGCCTCCGCGGGGAGCACGTCCGCCGCGTCCGCCCGACCCCCGGGGCCGGCACGTGCTGCGCCCGGCGGGCCCGCCGAGGGGGCGGAGGCCCTGGCTTTTTCCTACCCCGGCCTCTGCCAGGAGGAGGAGCAGCGGCGGGAGGCGACAGCTGCCCGGCCGAGGAGGCGCGGCGGACAGGGGACTGCGGTCAGCTGAGTCCGCTCGCGGCCGCACGCCGGCTCCGCGCCCGGCGACTCGCGGCGGCCGCCCGGGGATGTTCCCGGGCACTTCCTGACTGGCTGGCGGCCCGCACACGGCGCCTCGCACGCCCCCGGCCCCGGCTCGCCCGCCCGCTCGCTGGCTCGCGCGGCCCGGCTCTGCGTCGGCCGCGCCGCGGTGGAGGCGCGCGAGGGGGACGCGGCCGGGGATGAGCGGATTGCGGGCAAACACGCCGCCGCGGGGCCCCAAGAGGCCGTGAGCAGCTGCTTTTCTCCGAGTCGCCGCCCTGCCCTTGGATTTGAGATCATGTACGTACGCGTCGCGGTCCTGCCATTGTCTCTGCCCCGAGCGCGTGCCGTGCGCCCCGGGCCGAGGGGCTGGTGCCCATCCTCGCCGCGCGCTGTCCCCGCACTTCCTGTTCGAGTGAAGTGGCCAGCGCGCTGACCGTGCTCCCCTTCTCCCCTCGCTGCCCTCCCTGTCCTGCAGGTCCATTCACATCGTGGCGCTGGGGAACGAGGGGGACGCGTTCCACCAGGACAACCGGCCGTCGGGGCTCATCCGCACTTACCTGGGGAGAAGCCCTCTGGTCTCAGGGGACGAAAGCAGCTTGTTGCTGAACGCGACCAGCACGGTCGCGCGTCCCGTGTTCACCGAGTATCAGGCCAGTGCGTTTGGGAATGTCAAGCTGGTGGTCCACGACTGTCCCGTCTGGGTAAGGGACAGCAGCTGCTCCGTGCTGAGGCTGAAGGAGCTTCTCTTTCTTTTTTTTTTTTTTCCCCTCCCGCCCCCCTTTTGCCCACTTCCGTGAATGTGGAGTGTCCGTGTTACCTGGGCAGAGTTTTTAAACATTTCTGAGAGAATCTTGGATCCTTTGTTCATTGGGCAGGGGGTAGTCCGGTCAGAGAACACTCTTGGAAGGTAAAAAGTCCCCGTAGGAATGTGAAGCACCTACTCCTACACTTCATGACTGTGGGTTGTCCCTTGGTAGACAGCTGACGGTTTTATTGTGCCAACTCCAAGGGACCATGTCACTAAGTTTCACTAGCAAAGAGCAATGTTTTTCATGCCTACCCTGTGGGTGATAGTGTAATATTAGTGTTCTAAAAATACAGCCCCCTGAAAGCTCAACGCAGGCAAAAATACTCTTCAGTGGGACAGTTCAGAAATAGGACCCCTGGAAAAGGGGAAAAGGGACTGAGTTAATTTTAAACGACTCATTTGTGGCACTATTAATTAACCTCTGAAAAATTTTAATTAGTTTTTAATTTTAATAATGCAAAATACTCTTGGTATGTTACCCATTTGTTTTTTAGTGATTCATGAATCGGAAGTAGCGTTACTAATATTGCCTGGAAAAGTAAAAATTAAATTTGTGATAATTGAACAAAATTGGAGTGAAGCGGATAAATTTTAGTCTGATTCTTGAGTGTTTGATAAAAAGAAAAAGGAATCCACTCCTAGACACATGTAGATATTTAAAGTACACAATAACATTCTATTTTGAATGCTTTTCTTTAATCTTATTTGAAAATTTCTGATTCTGATTCTTTACTAATATTGGAGTTATATATATTTCACCTAAAGATTGCATTTTATAACGAAAGAGTTTAGTGTTTGAAAAAGAAAATACAGATCATGTGAGATTTTACATTTAAACAGCAATTTTAAAAAACTGAATCAGAGCTGTAGGAAACTAGCATACCTTTCTAAAAAATGCATAGAAAAAGTTATGCAAATTTCCCTATTATGGGGAAAAGATCCCTTGCCCATATAAATTTTCAGTTAAAGGAAAGTTATGTTAATATGCTAAAATAAACTAAAAACAGGCCTTTTCAATATAAGAGAAGCTATTAAACCCCCAGTTACGACAGTGATAATGCTGTTCATAAGAAGTATTGATGGAGAACTTACTGGCTGTCATATATGAAAGCAAATGAAACACTTCTTTTACTTTGGCCCTTTCATTGTGAATGACCTTACAGTGTAAAAACTTATCAGTTCAACATGCAGTTGAGCAAATGTTTAGTGAATACCGTGAATAAATGTAGGGGAAATAAAATAAGCTAAATTATGTTAGGATTGCTTTTCCTGTTTTTAATTTGAGCTGTTAACCCTTTCCTGTTTATGTTGATTTCACAAAAAGCAATGTTTGTGATCCCATGTATTTTGTCTAGTAAAATGAAATCTTCCGAATGGATAAAGTAAGCCTCTGTATCTGGATTTTTGCCATATACTGATTGTTAACGGTTTATTATGCTAACCACTTTTTGTTTGGTTAGACTCTGGCCCTATTTAAGGCACTGAGTTTGTAACCAGGTACAATTTTCTAGGTTATAATGATATTCAGATATAGTAGATTACATTCATAGAGTTCTTTTTCATAAGTGCTTTCCTTCTCTCGGTGGTTGTGGTAAGTAAAGCCCATCAGAAATATTAAAGTTGATTGTATTAATCAGCTGTTATTTGATGTGTACTGAATCAGAATATTAAATATAGCAGAGCAGATAGAACACAGGTTTTGATGTCAAAAGGATCTGATTTCAGGTCCCCACCTTGCCACTTAATGCCTGTGTGTCCTTGGTAAATCTCTTACTTTCTCTCAGCCTTATTTTCCCCTCTGTGAATAGTCATAACAATCCCTTCCTCCTAGAGCTGCACTGAGGCGTAAATGAGATACTAGTATGTGTAAAGTTCTAAGTGTAGAGGTTAGCATGTAATAGGTGCTCCGTAGGTGGTAGCTGTTATGGTAGGTGTTTATTATAACTGTAGTATAGTTGTGTATCAGACTAAGCAAAAGTAAAGTTTCCCTACATGTCATTCAGGATTTATACACTACAGTATGTGGGGGCAGCAATGTTAGCACTTAATAGGTGCTGTATTTGCAGCCCCACAATCAAGTAGAATAAAATTGTTTCAACATAGAAATTTTTAAAGATGAATTCAATAATTCTCCAATGTGGCTTCAAGCCTTGGGTTGCATAACCTCCTAGAGGAAATCCTGGAACTGATTTACGTGGGGTGGGAGACTTTGATTTCCTTCATAATTTTGGAAAGTAGTGGAACATTTTCTCTTTGACATAGTTTGGAGAAGAAATGTGTTGTTATTGCCTCAGAGTTGGAATGAGATAGTTGTGTTTCTCTTCCCTAGTTCTCTTCTGTAGATCCTTGACCTTACCCTGGATCCTTGCCTTATATACTTGGCACTTTTAAAATAAATGTGCTTCACATTCATTAGTGGCAGCTTATTATTAAATAGTTAGTATGTCTTTGTCTCTTACCCATCCTTTTTTTTGTGTGCAGTTATAGTATTACTTCATTTCACATTTCTGGATCTTTTCTTATTTATTAAAAACATTCCATAAAAAGCAGTAAGGTAGTAGATTCATAATTTTCTTGTGGAGGGTTTGAAGCTCTGATTTGTATTACAAATAAAAGTATTTATAGTCTTTACATTCCCAATCCCACAGAGTTAATGATGCTTAAGCCCATTTTTTTCTCAACATTTTCCCTTAAATGTCCTCTTCCTCCCCATATCTCTCTCCAGTAACTCTGGAATGTTGAACTATTTGGAATGCGAAAAGCAGCTACTTCTGATTTATTCTCTCAGAGTTAAATGACTGTTTAATATTAGTTCCACTTATATTTAGTTTTTATCTCATTTATCTGACTTTGTCCTCTGTCATTGTTATACTTACGTACTCTTATAATTGTATACTTAGAACTTGAACACTATAACAGATACAGTTGGAACTGCATATGTTTTGTGGTTTGGGATTTGGAAATTAGAGGAGAGCTGTGCTGGGAAGCTTTCCCACCTTCTTGCACTGTGTCCCACTTCATTTCTCCCCTGCTTACACCCTCCACCAAGTTCAAGCCTTTGTATCTGATGCTCATAGTCTATGCTTTGCCTTTTATTTTTTATTTTTTTGGATTCCGTTAAACTTCCTTCAAAACTGCTCTCTCCATCCTACTTTATTTCAGTAGGGTATTCACATCTAAAAATTCTGCAAATCTTGTTGCTTTGAGCGTACTTATGGGAATGGGCAGTTGGGAGGCTGTCGGGAATTGGGGGAAGTCCTGGTGAGCAGAAGCTCTCTCTGCAAAAGGGCATTGCTGTGGAACACTCTGCAGAATTTTCCATCATGGGATAAAATCTCTGTCTCATAAACCTTGATTGGTTTATTCAAACACTATTAACCCTGTTTTGGACTCATATTTCAAAGTGCAAACTTTCATAGCCCAACAGCTTTTGGATGTGTTAGCCACATCCAGTTGTCTATTCCTTTAATCTAGCTTTATTACATCCTAGAACTACATACCAAAGGCCACATAAAGGGACAAATAATGATTAATAGTTAACTAGAGTATGAGAAGAAAGCTACTACTAGTGCATATTTGGCAGTGGAATTAAGATACATAAAGATATTTTCCTTATAC